GCCATTACCTGTCGGGAGTATTCTCCACCCCAGACAGAGATAATGACAGATGGAGTGAGATGAATGTTGTGTCTATTTATATTGTTATTATATTGTATTTCAGGAAACAGTATGTTAATGAGGTCATATTCGTTGTTTTTCTGAATTTTTATATTCTTTACTTATACAGGTGACGCTATATTAGACACGGGTAATTCTTACAAAAATCTGTCTGGGATGTATTTCACCACTCCAGACAGGGATAATGACAGGTGGAGTGATGGTAACTGTGCTGCTTACTTGAGAGGAGGCTGGTGGTTTAACCATTGTCACCACGCCTTCCTCAACGGACCCTGGTCCCAGGAGTACTGGGTCAAACCATGGTACCCCACAGTAGAGCGGGGGACGTCAGTGAAGGGGACCACCATGATGATAAAACGTCACTAGGTAAACACCATTAAACCTTAATCACCCCTTTTTTTGTATTTCCGTTGAAAAATCCAATGATTTGAAGAGATTTTAAGATTTTAAGATTTTCCTATATATTCCTGTGTAAAACTTTGATCGGCCATTGTGGCCCCACCCTAGCTCCTGGGGTCATGATTTGAACAAACTTGAATCTACACTACCTGAGGATGATTTCACATGAGTTTCATCTTTCCTGGCCCAGTGGTTCTTGAGAAGAAGATTTTTTTAAAGATATTTCCTATATACTCCTATGTAAAACTTTGATCGGCCATTATGTGGCCCCACCCTACCCCGGGGGTCATGATTTAAACAAACTTGAATCTACACTACCTGAGGATGCTTCCACATAAGTTTCATCTTTCCTGGCCCAGTGGTTCTTGAGAAGAAGATTTTTTAAAAAATGCTATTAATTTTTCACTATTTCATAATTATCTCCCCTTGGAAGAGGGCGTGGCCCTTCATTTGAACAAACTTTAATCCCCTTCACTAAGCATACTTTGTGGCAAGTTTGGTTTAAATTGGCCCAGTGGTTCTTGAGAAGAAGATGAAAATGTGAAAAGTTTAACCATATTAAATTTGGTTATTATGGACTCTTTTGGTGTTGAATATGGAGCCGAGGTCAATATTGATGCTTTTCTGGTGAATAACAAACCATATTCAACACCAAAAGAGTCCATGATTGTTTTATTATATAGTCCGGGTTTGAATGAATAAGACTTTAAAGGCTGCATGACGACACCATTTTCATTTAAAAACTTTCGTTGTTTAAATTTAAAAAAAGTCCAGATTAAAATTTGTAACATCCGTGTTTTCCTTTCCGAGTTTCGCTATGTGTGAGACGTCCAAATGGGTAAAAATAATCCTGCGAAACTGTTTGCGCTTGTATAGATTAAATAGACTATATAATAATTTATTATATGGCATTGTTTTTCAGTTATTGGACGGAGGATGTGAAAGTCATCGTCGACGTTGTACATCTACACAAAAGTGCTCAATTTACACACCTTCAGGACCCCCTTATTGTGAATCATCAAGTAGGTAGAAATAGGTTGTTATCTATCTAAATCAGAAGTAATAATAAATCAACATGCTAGGGAAAATGTGAATTAATAAAAATAATTAGATAAATACATAACAGTTGAAATGTGTTCGCTTTTAAAAAGATATGAACGTAATCAAGAATATGTTGATTACAGAAAGACTTGCGAAAATTCTGATAGAATTACAATTGGTTTCTTTAAAGATTGTGGAAACCTATATCGAACATACACAACTATAACTCATTATGTGGATAACAACATAGACAGTACAGCAGAACTTAAATGTGGAGACCAATTTCGTCTTTTCGAAAGCAGAGGAAGTAAATTTGCAGTTTGTAATGCGAATGGTTGGTGGGTGATTTACCTGCATTGCATAGGTAGGTCAATTTTACTGGACCCTAGCAAGCATTGGATAAAAGTTCAAATAAATTACAAACAAAAAAAATGATCCTGAGGGCATTTTGCTGAATTTTTTTTTGCGATTTTTTTTTTCATGAGTGTATTGTACTTTGAACCATGTATGAAATGAATGAAGCATAGAACACATGAAATGATTACTTTTATTAAGACTGCCGATATTCTTGTTTCATCAACTCTTTGTCAATAATTGACCTCGTGAACTGCTAAAAGACATTAGAATTCGAAAATTCAAAAATCAGTTTGATACATATTTGTGTGATTTATACAAATAGTGGTGTATAGTATTTGTATTTGGTAAGCATCGCCTTGCAAAGGTACATAAGAAATTAACAACAAAAAGAAACGTGATGAAATGAAAGAATTTACTGTCTTATGTATTTGGTAGTCATTTCAAAATGTAATAAATATTTTCAATGCTGAAGAACTTAGCAGTTACGTATAATCCCAAAATTGCTCATGCTTATCAGTGTCGTCAAACATGGTCGGTATAATATTTTGCCAGTATGACCTCTTTTAAATTATAACAAATTAATAAGAGAGTCGTTCGTAAGAACGCTTACCTGACGCAACGGTAACCTGGTGTTTTCATCACCATTTCAATAAAATAAAACCAAACATGATGACTCTTACGCTGTATTGGGGCTCAGCCTAATAACGAAAGTGCCATTAAATATACTTTGTGGAATAAATACACCATGCAGATCCTACAATATTACTAGTAATGCATGTATAATTTTGCTGTAAAAGTTCACTCTGAATTTAGCCAAGTGGATTATCAAAAAAAAAATCAGTTTGGAGAAAACCCTCTTTCACTTGGAAAAAGGTGACGTAACTGATGTTCATTTTGACAATTTTTATAATGTTGTCTTTTATGTAGCCCCAAAAGACTGCCTTGAATATTATGAGGTACATGGAGAAAGAACTGACGGAGTGTATTACATTAACCCCCAACAGCAATTCTTTTCACAGAACATCATGGTGGCTTGTAAAATGGCGGAGAATGATACGGGATTGTTAAGAGGATGGACGGTGAGATGATAAGAAATCGACGGGAAAATAATTAGTTTTATGCATCACAATTCCTTCCTCTTCAATTACAGAATTCAAGTAGCATCGAACAATGAAACCCAAACAACAATTTTTCTTTTTGCTGCTTACATCTCTAAAAAAATCGTTGAATAGAATATGAAGATGACGAACAATTATCTAACTCAAAACTCCATTAAAAAACATATGAGGGCAAACACTGAACGCTAGAATGAAATATATGAAGATAACGAACAGTATTCAAGATCAAAAGTCGATAAAACAATACAAAACAGGAGCAGAGCAAACACAGACCTCCAAAACATCAGAGGTGGGATCAGGTGCCATGGAGGAGTAAGCATCCCCTGCCGACCCGTCACACCCGCGGCGTGCTCCTTGCCATAATCAGGAAAAAAACGGGAAAATCCGTCGTCAATTCAGTATATAAATAATGGACTACCAATTAGTTTGAAAAACGTAATTCAGCATTTGACTCAATGATAAATTGTATTCACGAAATGATGACTTTAAAACGAGACTGCTGATATTCTTGTTTCATCAACTTGACATATATAAACTCCGATGTACGTGATGAAGGTATATTGCTGCATAAGTAAGGGAAGCTGACGATAGAAAAGTTAAAGGCATCACGTTGTTCATAGAGCTTGGTTGTTAGATTACCATTGTCTTTTTCAAGCACCCCTCTCGACTACTCACACCCACGGTTTCCTTCTGTTATAAATATAATAAAAACAAGAATCATTAAAAGATTCTATTCACAAAATTAAGAACACATTAACAAAATTATCAGACAAAAAAAAGCGAAAATCAGGAATATATTTTCAGCTAATACACAAAGTTTATACAAATTTTATGACTATAGATGTAAGTCTGAAAAAAAATATTTAGCAACGTTTTGATAGAGGATTCAATATATGCAATAATATTTTTGCCCCCTTACTGATATACTAGTAAAGACCGTTGACTACTTTTCTTAATACTAGTATATTTGGTAAAAACCAACACTAAGATTTTTTCTGTCTTTTGATATAAACATACAATCAATATTTTCTTGAAATGATGCGCATATGCAGATTAAGTCAATATCTTCAAAAGTGTTTACCCCTTTTATATCAAAAGGTTATTCAAGATTTCAATATTCTACCTTCATATAACAAAACCTGGATTGTTTTCCGGTATGGTAGACCAAATGAATGGATCGGTATGTAAAAAAGTTCTTTTTCATTTTAATTAATTGCCATTTGAATGATCTTAATAACAATAGTTTGCGGTACAGTAGGTCTCATAAAAATACATAAATTAGTTAATCCAGAAATTTTACTGCTTTAGAATATTTTATAAAAAAAAAAAGAGAGAAGCATGGTACACATCAGCAAGGCATAATATTTTGTTGAAATTTTATCTTGTTTAATTATTTATTTTTTGTGTTTATTTAAGACATACACTTACACACTGAAACTTAATAATGTGTATTTTTTGTCAGGAAATGATAATTTACATGCTTTGACCTCTGAAGAGTCTATAGTGAAGATCAATTGTACACATGACGATCACTTTAACACTACTATTATTGGAGTCAAAGTTGAGAGTTATGCTCAGAAATATTCCCTTCAACTAGATGGCGAAGGTAATCTCTTTCCGGATAAATGTTAATAAAACAAGTAGAGCTTTTTAAAAAAGCTTACCGTCTTTAGCAACAATCTTAAACAATAAACTGATCTACACCTATCAGGCTGTTTAATTCTTTTGAATTTTGTATTTCTACGTTAGCTTTTTACTGGCATTAGCCCTACCACGGTTGTCGCTCGGTCATCTCCGTAAACTTTGATTGGCCGAGAAATTTCGGCAAACCTCGGCTGATTCCATTCCCTTCTTCAAACAAGAAAGGGGAAAAGAATAATAACAAATTGTAAAGCCTGCAAGCAAGAAAAATCAAATTTTATTTAAAATGGAATTAAAGAGACCTTTTTATTTATTGCTATAAAAAATACCATGTTTTTAAGAATTCATTACTGCTGATTTTGTTGTTCGTTTTGTCATTTTTTTAAGATTGAAAATCTTGCAAAATTGTTAAGTCGTACGAAAATTAGATCATCAGAAAGTTATCTCTCTTGCCTTGAACAGCATTTCAACCAATGAAATAATTGAAAATTTTCTCATCATGCAATTTCTACCAATCACAAAAGAGAGGAAGTGCATAGTCCGAAGACTGTAAAAAGACTTCAACTATACAATACCGTCTTCCAAGGAAGACGGTAAACAAGTAAACAAGATAATAAAGTTTTAAGAAATGTACACTATTGACTTTAAATACAATAAATATGTTCGAATTAGTAAATGGTACATGACAATAATTCAGAAAAGAGTCTTGCAAGCACGATATATATAAACGAACATATACTGAGTATTTGGCAAATATTTAAATAATGTGATCGTTTATAATCGTTTGTAATGATTAGACTGAGTACAGAATTTATCCCTGGAAACAAAGCTTTCATCATCTTTTAAATAATTTCAATTGAGAAAAAAAGGAGAAGAAAACAAACGTTTCATTATGGAAGTAATCTATAACTGTACAGCTTACAGATGCAGGGTTCTCCATGAGCTGTTTTACTGTGTTGCTCCCGACACAGCAAAATTTTCTCCGACACAGTAACGATTAAAATTTTATGCATGCGACACAGTAAAAAATTTGCCGACACAGTAATATATGTGATAATCAGAAAATCAAAACATATAAATTCTCTCAAACTGAAACTTTAATCAAACATAACATTTTACCGAAATCATTAAATTGATAAATTGTTTTAAATTTTCAAGGAACTCGTAAGAATATCATCCTGTCGGAAGTTTCCCTATTTTTTCCTTTGCAATTCGGTAATTTGATAAAAAAAAAACTGACAAAAAAGTACAACAAATTTACTTTCAAAAGTGGTAATCAGTTTGATTGTATCGATCAGAATTTCCCCTGCTTTTCATAGCACGTGCTTTTACTTTTATTGATATGTATGACGAAAATATTTGTACATCGAAATAGTGATTTATTTTAAAAAGTGTGCGCATATATTCCTATATAATTTTAATGAAAAGTAATTCAGTTGCGAATTTGATCTCAAATAGCGCGAAATTTTAGTGCTTCACGTAAACTCTGCAACACAGTAAAATTTCAAATGATGGAGAACCCTGCAGATGTATTCAGTTTTTTTTATATAAAGGCTTTCTTCATGTACTAGTATTACTTAAGTCAATTAAAGGGATGGCTAAATATTTTGGCAAGGAAAATGAAACTCGATCGAGAGATTCTCCGATGTTTTGCAGTCTGTAATAACCTTCAACCCCTTAAGCCAGTAATTAACCCGTCTTTTCTGTGCCAGTAGCATAATTCGATCAAATATTTATTGTTCATGAGGGGTGCCTTATAATTAATCACAGGCACCTGAATTTTTATCAGTAAGTCTCTAAATTAGCCAAATATCGAAACATTCTACCCCTCTATGTACAGTTTAAATACACAAGGTGTGCAACGCCATTTTGACCCCCTGTTCAATTCAGGCTTCAATTTAACACATAAATCGGATATGCCTACTGGTTTTCGTGTAGCATTGGGTTCAAATATGATATTTCTCGCTATATATTTCTTCCTTAAGTTTAAATCCAACGCGTTGATAATGTTATCAGCTAAACTTCATGCTGACTTCGAATTTCGTCACAGGGCCGGATCGCCATCAGCTGACGTCACGGAAATTTAATCTCGACACCAAATGCTCCTATACATAAAATTTTAAAATACAACAATTATAAATTTATTTCATTGACAAACAAAATCAGATAAAAATTAAAAACCGAAAGATTATGTTGTTTTGATAGTCTTGATTTTATTTAACATATGTTATATGTGTTAGAAACAAATCATAGGTAGAGGCTTTGTTGAAGTTTCTGTTGTCGATAGGTAGCGCCTTATGGAAGTTTCCGGTGTCGATACATGCCATAAAGCGGTTAGCGAAGCTAACCGCTTAATAAAAAGCAGGTGCATTTTTCTTTAAATATGTACATTTTCTGATACAATTTTTCTTAAAAAATATCTTTTTAAAAATATTTGTTATCAAACGATACTCTTTATCTATTAATCAATGATATATTTATAAACTGTAAACGTTTTGACTTTATACCACGCATAGTTTTGGAGCTAATGTAAAAATATTTTTTAGTCATGCTGACCTTTGACGAAACCTTAAAGATTATGCAAAAGATTGGAAATTATTTCAAAAGTGCATTAAAAGTTTAAAACGTACTCAAGGTCAGAAGTAATCTTTAAACTAGTACACTTTGCCTAGGCTTTTTCTCTGGGTAGAGTCGGCAAGGCTCCTTGGAATAGCTATTACCTCAGCAAAAAATTCGAACAATTGATACCGAACGCATTGAACATAAACCTCGCACTGTGGGTTAAGACTATTCGCTTAACCCAGAATTATCTTACCAAAAATATTGTATATCATTATTGTCGACCTTGTCTTCCATCTGAGTACAACAAAAATTTTAATGATTGATATTATCCTGTCTCTGACGATACTCTCTGTTTATCCACCACGGCATAAAAATTAGCTGTTTCTCATGACCAGAAATTACTGTTATAAACATAAAAACACACACAAAAAATATTTGGAGCTACACAATCACTTGTTTTCTAATGTCGATGTTTTAAACTACCCACAACAATACCTTTAAGACAACAAAATTAAAATAAAAAAAATAAAATCGAAAAACCGTAAAATATTTCATTAACAACTCTGTGTTCAACATTTATAATAAAGGTAGATGACATTTTAACATCTAAGTATCAGAGAAGTTATATATACAATATTAAAAAGCGTGGTACACATGTGTGATTGAGATCGTTCGAATGCAACAATTGTGCTTATATAACAAGATTGCATGAAAAAAAAATACACTTCGTAAAATACAAAAGTAAAATCAACAGTCACAAGTAAAGAAAAACTATATGTGCCCTATAGTTGTACCCCAGCATACACGTTCTTCACGGAAGAAAATAGATTTTTATACATGACTTTTTGTTTTCTATTGTTAAGGTAACTTTCCAACCATTCTAAACTATTACCTGAGACACCATACATTTTAAGCTTATAAATCAATCCCTTTAGTGGCGTAGCATCGTTTTTGAAAGTGGGGGGGGGGCAGGCAGACAAAAAATTTTTTTACTTACATGAAAAAGTAGACAAGCAAAAAAAAAAAAAAAAAAGAAAACAGGGAAAAGTTGCCCAAAGTCGAATCCTATTTTGTGTGTGTGTGTGTGTGTGGGGGGGGGGGGGAGGTAAACTCTTTTTCTCAGTGTCAACTACTTTTAGTACCAATTCTAGGACCACATTTTCGGTACATTTCTAACAGTGGGGGGGGGGGGGGAACCAGGCCTTCAATTAACATTTCCTATAGTGTAAGTTAGGTTGGGAAAAAAAGTGGGGGGGGGCTGGCCCCCCCGTATACTACGCCCCTGCTTTTGCCAAACTCTATCGAAAGCTTTAGATAAATTAATCAAAGATTACCATACAGCAATGTTTCCCTTCATTAACACTTTTAACAATAGTATGTTTCTAAAAGTTTATACAGAGTAGAGTGACCAGGCTGACCTGCCTGAAATTTGTAGAACAAATTATTTGTGTGAAAAAAAAATTATTCATGTATTTAAAATAAATCTTTCAAAAGGTTTGCTAGCACAACTCAAAAGAGATACAGGTCTGTAATTTGAAATCACTGCTGGGTCGTCCTTTTTAAATAGTGGTAGGACATGTGCTAGTTTCCAACTTTGAGGATAAACCTTAAGTCTTAGGGATTTATTAAATAATTAAGAAAGTGGCTTAGCTATTGTTTCTTTACAAGATTTTAACATTTTGTGGCTAATACAATCAGGGTCCACAGCTTTACTTAGAGGGAGAATAGAGACATATCAATAATCTCGCTTTCTTGGATATATAAGTCACTGAAACTTTCTACAACTTTGGACTTGAATGTTGACAACTCGTATTCCCCACTACATTTTGTTTTTCTATCAGAGATCGATGTGAAAAAATAATTTAGCAGTTCGATTTTCTCTTTATAGGAAATTGAATAAATGCAAAAACTAACCCTTTTCTCTCCGATTCACACTTGTTTATGCAAGCAGAATGT